CCCGCGGTGATGAAGGTGATGATGTCGGAGATTCAATCCTCCGACCTGAGATGTATATCCATGATGGGGCTCGCATGTATGCTTGAGAGGTTGAGCTCCTCGATCCTAGCAATCTTGGAGAGGTGTTCGGGGGATTCGGCCGAGAGCTTTGAGAGAATATCGGCCTCGGAGTTTTGAGCCCTCAGTATTTGAGTGAGGGAGTGTGCCTCAAATACCTTAAGCAATTCTTTAGCCGCTTCCTTGTATTGTTTCATCCTCCCTTCTTTGGCCTCATACTCTCCGGAGATTTGGCCCACGACAAGCTTGGAGTCACACTTGACGTGGATCAACCTGACCTTCAGGTTTGCTGCCAGTCGTAGGTCACAGAGGAGGGCCTCATATTCGGCTTCGTTATTGGATACTTTGAAGGAGAAGCGGACGGCATAATAAGCGCGGAAGCCTTTGGGCGTAATGAGAACTACCCCTCCTCCGCATGCTTTGGTGGCCGAGGAGTCGTCGGTATAGAGGGTCCACCACTCGTCTAGAGGGACCGAAGGCTCCTCATCCACCGCTGATCTCGCGGTGCATTCTGTGACGAAGTCTGCCAGGGCTTGGCCCTTGATGGCAGGCCTCGGACGAACGTCTATATTGTATTGGCTGAGGAAGATAACCCATTTCACCATTCTGGAGGAGCTGGTGGGGCTTCTCATGAGGGCGTCGTGGGGTTGATGTGTGAGCACTTGGACCGGATGAGCTTGAAAATAGTGGCCTAGCTTCTTGACAGTTCAAACAATGGCTAGGACCGTTTTTTCCACAGGAGAGTACCTGAGCTCCACTTCCCTAAGGGTCTTGCTAACATAGAAGATGGCATGTTGGATGCCATCTTCCTCCCGGATGAGTACTGAGTTGATGGCGGCGGGGCTGACGCCAAGGTATAGATACAAGGTCTCTCCTACCTTGGGTTTGGAGAGCACAGGGGGAGAAGAGATGTACTTCTTCAGCTCGTCGAAGGCCTTTTGACACTCAGTTGTCCATTGGAAGTCCGCTGTCTTCCTCGTGATTTGGAAGAAAGGGAGGGCCTTCTCAGCTTATTTGGAGAGGAAGCGATTGAGGGCCGCCAGGCGACCCGTCAACCATTGAACTTCTTTGACATTGCGTGGGGGCTCCATGTTGATGATGGCCTGGATCTTCTCGGGGTTGGCCTCAATACCCCTTCGGCTAACCATATAGCCCATAAATTCGCCCCCCTTGCACGCCGAAGGTGCATTTCTTTGGATTCAACCGAAGGTTGAATTTCTGCATGATGGCGAATATCTCCCGGAGGTCCTCGGCGTGGGTGTTCGATTTCTTGCTTTTGACGATCATGTCGTCAACATAGGCCTCCATGGTGCGTCCTAAGACAGCTTGAAAAACCCTGGCCACCATGCGGGTGTAAGTGGCTCCTGAATTCTTGAGGCCGAAGGCCATTACAAGATAACAAAAGATGCCTTCGGGTGTCATGAAGGCTGTTTTTTTCGGCATCCTCTTCATGCATGTAGATTTGATGATAGCCTCGGAATGTGTCGAGCCGTCGAGGAATGACATGATTTCGCACCCCGCGGTCTCATCTACCAGCTGATCAATGTTTGGTAGAGGGAAGGGGTCCATAGGGCACGCTTTATTCAAGTCGGTGTAGTCCACACACATGCGGAAGGTGGGTGGCTTCTGTGCCAGTACCACATTGGCCAACCACGAAGGATATTTCACCTCCTTGATGTCCTTGATGGACAGGAGCATGGTGACCTCTTTCTTGACAAAGTCCCGTCTCTCGGCCGAGAGGGGCCTTCTTCTTTGCTGCACTGGTTTGGCCGAAGGGTCCACCGTCAGGCGGTGAGTGATGACCCTTCGGTCGATCCCCGGCATATCCTCCGGTCCCCATGCAAAAACAATGGAGTAGGCGCGGAGGGATTTGGTGATGCCGGTCTTCAAGTCTTCGGGGAGCTTGGCTCTAATCTTCAAGACTCTCTCCGGCTTGGCCGGATCGAGCATAAAGTCTTCAGATTCCTCGGCCGGTTCAGCCCTCGGCCTGCCTTCTTCCTCTTCTAGGGAATTGGTAGTGATTGTATCAATGCGGAGTTCAGTTTTACTAACCTTCCTAGTGAGCTGAAGGTAGCATGCCCTGGAGAGCTTCTGATTCCCCCTCGAGTAACCGATGCCCGTAGGCGTAGGGAACTTGAGGCAAAGGTGCCTCATGGAGATGACGGCTTCTAAATCCTCGAGGGCAGGCCGGCCGAGGATGATATTATGCGCGCAGTCGAGGTTGACGACGAAGAATTCCACTTCGAGCTTGGCTCTATGGCATCCGTCGCCGAATTCAACCATAAGGGTGATGACGCCTTCGGCGTCTATGCTGTCCCCCGTGAAACCAGAGAGGGGGGTTTTGATGTGCCGAAGGGTTCCCCTGTCAAGTTCCAACTCTCGGAAGGTGCTGAGATACATCACATTGACAGAACTTCCCGTGTCAACGCAAGTCCAGAGGATGATGGCGTTATTGATTTCGGTGCGGATGACGAGGGCATCCCTGTGAGGAAGAGAACCCGGGGGCAGGTCTGCATCTGTGAAGAAGATGGGATCCGCCCTCGGCCTCTTAGCCGGAGGCATGTGGTTGACCTCCCCGATGTAAAGGGATTGAGCCCATTTCTTCCTTTGGCTCGTGGAGTCGCCTTCGGTGTTGCCACCAGTGATCATGTGAACGTGGCGCTTGTATTGATGCTGGGGATCTTCTTCCTCACTGAGTTTCCCAAATTCACGTTTCCTCCCTTGAGGATTCCCCAAGGGAATGGTGTTGGGGTTAACCCATTTGTTAGCCTTCGGCGGAGGCCCTTGGTGATGAGGGGGGCCCTGAGGAGGAGGGCCCCTGATAAATTGAGACAAGTGGCCAGGTTGTATTAGCCTTTCGATGGCCATCTTTAGCTGATGGCAGTCATCAGTCTTGTGCCCATGGTGGCGATGAAAACGACAATAAGGCTCTTCAGGACTGATGGCATATATTTCGAGGGGTGCGCGGGAGTCTCGCTCCACGAGGCCTCGCTCTTCTGCGTAATCCAGAATAGTGCTGATGGGGTGTGTCAGGGGAGTGCGTGGGTGCTCCAGGAGGACGGGTTGCGCCCATGCCTTCGAGTTGTTCTTGTAACCGCCCCCGGGTCTGGTTTGGCCACGTCGGGGGCGTTCGTTGTATTGTACCTCGCGGTTTGCCGGAGGGGGTGGCCCCCCGGGGCAATTTCTGCTATCATTCTTGTGTGAAGGCTCCGGATTGCGGCGATCCTTCTCGATCTCCTCGGCCTCGGCATATCGGCCCCCCCCCGTTGAAGGGCTTTTGTATAATCGCGGGGGGGATCAGTAATAAGGCTCCTGGAGAAATTACCGTTGCGGAGGACGGTGTGGAAGCGGGCCATCAATGTTCTGTCATCGGCGCCCTCGACCTCGAGGGAGGCCTGCCTCCAGCGTTCCAGGAAACTCCGAAGGGTTTCCTCCTTCTGTTGCCTTACGTTCAGAAGGTGGGAGAAATGCTTTTTTGATCAGTGCCTCCCGACGAATTGTGTGAGGAAGCGGTGTGCGAGTTCCTGCCACGAATCGATGCTGCCTTCGGGCAATCGATTGAACCATTCATACGCTGGCCCCTCCAAGGTGGAAAGGAACCAACGACATAAATATTCATCTGATGCACCCATCATCATCATACTGTTTTGATACCTGCTGTAGTGTTCTTAGGGATCCGTCTTCCCCTCATAAGGCTTGATGGGTTGTCCCCGATATTTGTTGGGGATCTTTGCCGTCAGCACCCTTGGGGTGAAAGGCGTCCTTGTGCAGAGCTGAATGAGGGGTTCGTCTGAGCCCTCAGCGAATTTGCGCTTCATCTCCTCCACTTGCGCCCGGAGGGCGGCATACTCTGGATCTAGTCCCGACGCGGAAGCCGTCGGGGGCGCCTGACGCGTCACCTCGAGCTGACGGAGGAGAGCCTCGATTATTTCGTCTTTGGGATCCTTCGGGGCAACCCCTTGGGAGTTGGTCCGGAAGGACTGAGCCTGATTAATTTGGTGTTTGGCGTCGTCGGCATGGAGGGGGCGCTTGCCTTTGTCCCGAGGGGGAGTTCTTTCCTCGGCCCCCGAGACGGAGCCTCCGCTTTCTTGTGGTTTGCTGGTTGCCTTCCCACCGAGGCGGTCTTGGACCCCTCGGTGCTCTTGAGTTTGGCCCAACCTCTCGAGGGCAGAGGTTCGGGGCTTCTCCTTGTGATGTTTATCCTTGGATTGAACCTCTTGGGAGGCGGTGTCTTGTGCTACGACCCCTTCGGCGTTGCCAATCCGCATTACGGGATTGTTGAACAGAAGAGGGGGTGGCAGACAAGTGGCGTTTCCCCCAAAGTAGGGTTGGAGTGGTGCCTGAGTGACGAAGGCTCCAGGGTTGAGAGCCATGTTTTGGACAAAGGCCGCAAAGGCAGCCTGAAGATCGATGGCCGGGGTCGGAGGGGGAACTTGGTTCTCACTCCGATCCCTCCGATTATCAAGCCCTATGCGGGCATCAGGGGCAGCCTTCTGGAACTGCTGACGGAGGTCAGCGGTGGCCTGTTCTATTTCGGCGATAGTACCGCCTTCGGGTACCAAGAGTCTGTTAGAGGCTTCGACTCCGTTGGTTTCGTCGGGGGCTACGTGGTTTTCCTCGAGGGTTTTTGATTGACCACGAGTTCTTCCCATTTTGATAGGTGTTTTTGTGTTTGGCGAAGGGGAGGGTTTCTTACTTGATTGTTCGGACCTCTCAACGAGAGCACCAAATGATGGACAGTGTACCCGGGGGTAGCTTATCTGAAGGGTTATTGCGGGAATAACCTAGAGAGAAGTCAGAGCAAACAAGTAGGAGAGAGAGGCGATTATATTTATGAACTTGAGATGTTCTGGTCCTTTACAATGGGGAAATGTGGTGCTATTTATAGTAGCAATAAATGCGATGAGAGTACACGTGGCTATAATCTAACGGCCGGGGGGTCACCTCAATCGGGGTGGCACCGGCAATCGCACGTTCACCGCATTAAATGCGGTGGGTGGATGTGACGTCGCATTAAATGTGGTGGTTGGCTGTCTCCAAAGGGAATCTTTGATGATTGAGACTGTTTAGCCGAAGGCTCTTCATGCAGCCGAGGGCTTCGTGTGGCCGAAGGCTCTGTGTAGCCGAAGGCTTGGTTTAGCCGAATGCTTCTCTGATGCCGAGGTTTCAACGGTGCCGAAGGCTCCTGTTTTCTGCCATTTTCTCCCAGTAGCTTCGTATGCTCAAATATGGCTGTTCTGTGAGTTTTGGAGCCCTCGGCCAAGGAGGCCCGAAGGCACCCATGTGTGCATCGTGGGTTTCTTTATGCTTGGGCCACTGTGTTCGGGCCTTGTGTGCTCATTGGGCCTGCGCAGGAGAAGTAGGAGTCTGTGGGCCGGGGGTTTCTGGGCCATATACTCCATCACTCGGGTCATGAAGTTGTGAGTTTTTTTGTGCTTCATGGGTACCTGGACTGGTGGGGTGACCGCCCTCGACCCGGAATCAAAGGAGCTGCGAAGGGAAAATTGACAACCACGTCTGGAACTTCACGTAATAAGCCTATAGCCAAAGCCCATGCTGCTGTGGCCGTTGAAAATGCACACAAGGTGACTGCTGACAGTGAAGGGTATAGCAGCACACCCAATCCACTGTCGGGATTTACTTCAGAACAATGGAAAACCTTGCTTTCCTTTTTCGGTAACTCCTCCTCTTCTAGTGACCGCATGGCAGGTAAATTCAATACTAAGGCTTGGATTATGGATACCGAGGCTACTAATCATGTGTGTGGTGATTTATCCTTATTGTGTCATGTTAAATCTATTAAGCCATGTGCCGTGTGACTGCCAGATGGGCAAAACCGTCATGGCAACACATGAAGGGCGAGTTATATTGACAGATGATTTGCACTTAAATAATGTGCTCTTTGTTCCGAAATTACATTGTAATTTGATTTCGGTGTCACAGCTGAGTGATCAATTAAATTGCTTTATTCAATTTGCATGTAGTTTATGTGTTATACAAGACCGTCTCTCGAGGAGGCTGATTGGAATGAGTGAACGGAGGGATGGACTGTATTATCTGCAAGAGACACATGCGGCTCATATTTTAGCAATCAAGGATTCCAGAAGTTTGGTGGTGGAATTGTGGCATCAACGAATGGGGCATCCGTCATCTCAAGTAATTGAAAAATTAGCTCCTGTGAGTGGTTTGAAACATGTTGGAGGTTTTCCATGTGATGTTTGTTTTAGAGCTAAGCAGACTAGAGATTCGTTTCCTACTAGTTTGACTAAAACTCATAAACCTTTTGAACTTGTGCATTGTGATTTATGGGGTCCTTATAACTCTCCTTCCTCGTGTGGTGCCCGATATTTTTTAACTCTGGTGGATGATTATTCTAGAGCTGTTTGGGTATATTTACTTCTTGATAAAAAAGGAAGTGTTTAAAATGTTTCTCTCTTTTGTTGCTATGATAGAACGTCAGTTTTCTAAACAGATTGTCACTGTGCGAAGTGACAACGGGACAGAATTTAACTGTTTGAAAGATTTTTTTCAAACTAGCGGTATTATTTTTCAGACTTCTTGTGTGGGAACCCCACAACAAAATGGACGTGTCGAACGCAAACACCGGCACATTTTGAATGTTGCCCGTGCATTACGCTTTCAAGGACATTTGCCTATTTCTTTTTGGGGCGAGTGTGTATTAACTTTTTCCTATCTCATTAATCGCACTTCCTCCGCCATTCTTGATTATAAGACTCCATATGAACTTTTATTTGGAGTGCCACCATGTTATACTCCCTTGCGGGTCTTCGGTTGCTTGTGTTATGCTTATAATATGAAGTCCAAAGTTGATAAATTTTTTAGTAGAAGCCGCAAATGTGTGTTTGTGGGTTATGCTTTTGGCAAGAAAGGATGGCAAGTATTTGATCTAGAGACTCGTGAATATTTTGTATCTCGGGATGTCAAATTCTTTGAAAATATTTTTCCCTATGCAATGCCTACTGTTACTACCAGTGACAATAATGCTTCTCCGGACATGGTGCTGCATGAGTATGCGGATTTTTCATCAGACGAAATTATACCGCCACAAAGTGACCTTTCTTCTACGGATTCACCCCCTCAATCCTCTGAGGATACTTCGATTCCTACTGCCATTGAAGACCACCATGAACAGCAACCCCTCTTAGGTCGAGCACACCGACAACGCACACCTTCAGTTCATCTTCAGGACTACGTCACGCACACCATTGTCACAAATAGTCCATCTCTTGTTCCCTCTGCCCTTTCACCTTCTTCAGGTACGCCGTTTCCTATTACACATTTTATTACTTGCGATGCTTTTTCTCCAAAGCATAAAGCTTATTTGGCAGCTCGTCATTCGGTTACGGAACCTCAGTCTTTTCAAGAGGCCGTTAAGGATGAAGGATGGCGTCATGCGATGAGAGCTCAGATTCAAGCTCTTGAAAAAAAATGCTACTTGGAGTCTGGTATAGTTACCACAGGCAAACGAGCACTAGGATGTCGATGGGTCTATAAAATAAAACATAAATCTGATGGCACTATTGAACGCCTAAAGGCCCGCCTTGTTATATTTGGCAATCGCCAAGTTGCTGGTCTTGATTACACAAAGACATTTGCTCCGGCTTCTAAAATGGTAATTGTACGTGCATTTCTCGCTATTGCTGCCTGTAAAAATTGGGAGCTTCACCAAATGGATGTTCATAATGCATTCCTTCATGGTGACTTAAATGAAGAGGTATACATGACTATTCCTCCAGGGTACCGTACTCCTGACTCTACTTTGGTTTGTCGTCTTCATAGATCTTTGTATGGCCTAAAGCAAGCACCAAGATGTTGGTTTGCTAAATTGGTCACGACTCTAAAAAATTACGGATTTCTTCAATCTTATGATGATTATTCCCTGTTTACTCTTAAACGTGGAAATAGTCAACTCAATGTCCTGGTTTATGTTGACGATCTTCTCATTGTTGTCAATGATAGTGCTGCCATTTCCAGTTTCAAGACATATCTCCATACATGTTTTCACATGAAGGATTTGGGGGTTCTCAAATATTTCCTTGGTATTGAGGTAGCTCGCAGCCCCTCCGGGATATTTCTTACTCAGCGCAAATATGTCCTAGATATTCTCTGAAGCAGGTCTGTTGGGAGCCAAACCGGCCTCCTTTCTGATAGAGCAGAATCACGGCCTGGGCAATGCCACTGGCCCTCCACTGACCAATCCTGAACAATATCGTCGTTTTGTTGGACGTCTTATCTACTTGGCGGTCACTCGCCCAGATATTACCTATTCTGTGCATATCTTGTCACAATTTATGCAAAATCCCCTGATGGAGCATTGGTCTGCTGTTTTGCGAGTTGTTCGTTATCTTAAAGGTTCACCCGGACAAGGTATTCTCTTGTGTGCTGATAGTGACCTCACACTTACTGGTTGGTGTGATTCTGACTGGACCGCTTGTCCTCTCACCCGCCGCTCTCTCTCTCTCTCTGGTTGGTTAGTGTTTCTTGGTCACTCTCCTATTTCCTGGAAAGCCAAGAAACAGACTACAGTTGCACATTCTTCTGCCGAAGCTGAATATCGCTCTATGGCAGCCGCGACGTGTGAATTAAAATGGTTGAAAGCACTCCTGTTAAGCTTGGGTATCCAACATCCTCAGGCTATACCTCTCTTTTGTGATAGTCAGTCTGCACTTCATATTGCCAATAATCCCGTGTTTCACGAGCGCACTAAACACATTGAAGTTGACTGTCATTTTGTTCGTGATGCTATTCGAGCTAAGCTTATTGCTCCAAATTACGTGCCTACGACTATGCAACTTGCTTATATTTTTACTAAAGCTCTTGGCAAGACTCAATTTCACACTCTCCTAATCAAGTTGGGCATTTTGAATCCCCATGCGCCAACGTGAGGGGGGTATTGGGCGGTATTGGGCATTATTTTGGAAGATATTTTTTGACTAATAGTGTTTTAAGTATGCTAGGATTCTATTGCCTTAATGTAATTTTATTTTGTTTCCATCTTTAACAATACCGATCCAATTTATTCGGTATTCTTCTTGTATAAAGCCTGGCCGCAATACATGAATAAAAGCAGAGAGTTCTTCTTCTCTTCTTCGTAACTTTGTTGTGCGTTATTATTCTAAAATTAATATGGCCGGCCACGAACTCCGACTCCAGTGATGGCAACCACAGTCCTTGGAGATGGTGGTCACAGTCCCCGGAGGTGTCGGCGGAATCCTTGGCGGTGGGGGCAGAACTTGAAATCCTCCCACTGGAAGAAATGGTGTGTGCGATTGTGCGGACGGGAAGAAGGAAGGATGGAGATTGGAGTGAGGGAAAAGAGAAAGAAAGAAAAGGGAAGAGAAAAAGAAAAAGAAAAGAAAAAGATATCCACCTGGACCGCCACATAAGTTGTTTACCTGCTAAAAGGTCCAATGATCGATTTTTAAGAGTTGGTGGGCGTTTTTCGCTATAGTACAGGGTCCCAATAATAATTAAATAAAGTACAAATCATGAATATGAGGCATTGCGGCTGATTCAAAGCAGAATTTTCTGGAACGGTAAATGATTCCTTTCTCCAGAACTTTGCAGCCTAAAAACCGGAAGAATTGTGCGTCCTGCCCCGACCAGGTCTCTACCTTTCCTTCGGGAGAAGGATCTTCGTCCTTTCCTCTTTTTATTGTTTTGGATTTTGATGTGCAGGAGTCCATCATTTTTTTTAATAAAATTCAGCTCCAATTCCAATTGTCACATACGGGCTGCAATAGAGATGTATTTTATAATTCTAAATGACCTAGTGAGATACTCAAGTAACTTACGCAGAAATTATGCAAAATCCTAAGTCAGTCAGCCAACAATCTAGTCACCTTATGCCATTTTTCCACCTTATCAAAGCACAAACTCATCAAAATCACTTAGGACTTTTATTTGGGTTGTAATGTGGCCATGGATAATGGTTTAACGAAATAAAAGATATGGAAATTCAAACAAAAGAGGAGACATTTTCTATACCAAACTAATCCAAGAAAGACTTCAATATATGATGAAGCAGTAACTAACTATCACATGATCATCCCGCTAAGATAAAAAGATACAAATGTGAAGATCAAGCAATACAAACCTCAACTCAACTTATCTTTTTCGTTTTCTTTTTTGCTTTTTCTTTTGTTTTCTGCTTTTTTCAAAAATAAATTCGAATTCTACATCAAAATTACTTCTAAAAAGAAATACCTATGTACCAACATTAAATGAAAGTCAAGCAACAACACTTTTTTTCAAGTTTAAAATCATTCCTCAAAATGGACTTATGGTGAAAACGGTTTGTGCCTTGTAAACCTTGGCACACTCATATAGGGGTGGGTCGGTGAAACTGAAAACCAAAAACTGGATCAATAAAACTCAAATTGCAACCAAAACAATCGAATCGCAAGAAAACCGAAATCGAACTCAAAAAACCAAACCGAACCATAGTTGTTTGGTTTCGATTTTGGTTTTCACAACTCAAAACCGAACCGAACCAAACAAACCGAACTTCTTAAAACTTTCTATTTTTATTTATTTATTTATCATTAAGTATAATATTTTCTTTAGTGTTTAATTCTTAATTCTAGAAAAATAATGCTTGCTACTAGATTTAGTGAAACACTTGTACATACATTTAATTAAGTGTATTGCTATAACACTAACATGTTGATATTTTAAATCATAATTTACATGAGTACTCTTCCGGTCAGGAATTCCTGACCGGAACCGCCGTCCGGACGGCGGCGTTTGGCCGCCTTCCGGATGGAATTTTTTGATGAAATTTTTATGACATGTTCTCCATCAAGTCTAGTTTATCCACAAAAAATTTCAGTCAAAAACTGATTTGGGAAGGTCGTCAAATGATTTTTGTAAGTTAACTGGTCCGGAATATGTATTTTCCGGACCAGTTAACTTGCAAAAATCATTTGACGACCTTCTCGATTGAGTTTTTGGTTGAATTGTTTTGTGGATAACTAGACTTGATGAAGAACATGCCACCGGGAAGGCGGCCAAACGCCGCTGTCCGGACGGCGGTTCCTGTCCGGAATTCCGGACATGAATATTTGTGAATTTACATTTTACTTGTTGTTGCATGAAAATGATATTTTGTTGATATATTAATTTTAATGTGTGTTTGTGATCACATAATTTTTTATATTTAACAAATATTTATTAATATAAACTATACTTTAAATAACATAGCAGAAAACTTGAAACTTTATAGCATAAATATCTTTGTCTAAAAAGTTGCAATCAATAAAAGCCTTTTAGTAAAAAGAAAATGAATTAGAGGACACAAAACTTACAAATAAAATTTTAACTTGCGAATGCACACAAATAAACTTATGCATTTAATTAATTTAGGAAATGTTTAAATTGATATACTCTCTATTATAGGGGTGGATTTGGTCCAAGAACCGAACCGAAAGAGGAATATTTCAAACCGATAATTCGGTTTCTCAATTTCCCACGCCCGAAACCAAACCGGATATTTTCGGATCCCGACTTTTCAGATCCAAATTTTTCGGGTCCGTTTTTCGGTTTGATAAAAAACCGAAATGAAATTAAAAATCTTGACTAACCGGTTGCAGCAAGGCAAGCCTTAGCCACTTATTTCAACTATTCAACCCAAGGGCCGTTTATAACTTTATATAGAGATGTAGGAGGAGAACAACTCCCGTTTTACCCGGTGTGGGAAACTTTCCAAAGCTAAGGAAAAAATAAATGCAACGCTCAAAGACATGAATCGAACATGGGTGGGGAGAAAAAAATTCGTTGCTCAACGAATGTTCTCTAAACCGCTGGACTGCTACATAAAATGATCAACTAATGGACTTGTCAACATTATATTACATTTACTTATTATTATTAATAGCAAGTAATAATAATTAATAATAATATAAAATTTTCGGTTCGGTTCGGTTTTAAACCAATTTTTTGTGTACAAAAACAGAACCCGAACCGATTTTATTTCGGGTCCCGATTTTCGGGTCCCAATTTCGTTCGGTTCGGTTCGGTTTTTTTCAAAACGGTTCGGTTTTCGGGTTTTCGATTTGAAATGTCAGCCCTACTCTCTAATGCATTGCTTGGAAGTGCATTTGTTTCTTCTCTCATTTTAAATTATGTTATTGTATTGTATTACTATTAATTATAGTTTGATGTTTATTTTACTGTTTTTGTTTTTTGATTACTAATTTTTAATCAACAAAAATATTTTGACAAATAAAAAAATTTGAAACCAAACAGAAATAAATCGAACTAAACAAATCATGGTTTGAAATTCTTGAGCATAAAACTAAACCGAACCGAATTTTCACTTTGTTTTGAAATTTGATTTTAGGTGAAAACCGAACCATTTGAACTGAACCCACCTACTCTCATAAGCAACATTCTCAGTCTAATCTTCCTGCAACTTGTCCAAAGGATTAGTAGGATCAAGAATATCGAGTTCAAAACAAGAATTACAATTGGGAGGGGGAAGGAGGATATGACCATCCGAGAGTTGGGGAGAAGAAATTGGAAGCTCAATGAGAGAACAGATGCGACTATGCGAGAGAAGGAGAGGTGAGGAAGAAAGAGGGAGTAGAAAAGAAACGAGTAGGGGGGCTGCTAGCCTATTGATTGAGAAAATAAAGAAGGGGTGTGGTTGAAATTGGTACTGCTAATCCTATGTTCTTTATAATATCAAGATATCATCATACTCTTAGATGCTAGTCATGCTACGTGTATTGTTTTTTGGTAATCGGAATGCCATAACCAATCTTTTCCCAAGTAAAAATATACAAAAAGAACAGAGAAGTAGAATAGTAGAGAACGGCCCGGTTTACAACATACAGTGTTAACTATTGAGTGCAAACTTGAATGATAAACGAAGGGAAAACTGCATCTTTTGACAGAATTGCACAACATAACTTTTAGTTCTATTTGTCAAAAGGCAACTTGGATGAAAAGGGTTATAATTGGAACCATCTCTTCAGCTGCTTTTTGTTGTCACTCTTCTGGTGGAAATTACCCTTTGTGAACTTGGATTTGTATTGATCAATGAACACGTCAAGCTTGTACATCACATCCTGTCCCACTGGGTCTGCATTCTTTTTACGTTTTTTTCCTCCCCCGAGATGTTGCTTTGTTTCTCCAGAAGAGTCTCATCATTCAGTCTGCCCTTTGATCTATGAAACCCGCCTTCAATATGTATAGACGGGTTTAATGCACCAAACCCCCCTGTGATTTGGAAATTCGGCGCATTAGCCCCCTGTGATTTAAAAAATGCATCAAACCCCCTTGTGTTTTAATTAATCATGCACAGAACCCCCTTTATGAATAAATTTAACGATTTGAAAATCACTTTTCCTAATATTTTGATTGAATATGCAAATAAATATGTCAAAATTTCTGAATCATACAAAAATGTTAATCATTTTTCTTTTATTTGACAATTGAATTTGTTCACATAAGGGATTTGGCGCATGATTAATTAAAACACAAGGGGGTTTGATGCATTTTTTAAATCACAGGGGGCTAATGCGCCGAATTTCAAAATCACAGGGGGGTTTGGTGCATTAAACCCATGTATAGACTTATTAGTGCGGGCAGTCTTCATTGGTTGAACTTTCCTTTTACATTGTTCTCTTTAAGCTTCTCCTCCTTTGAACCCGACACTTTCTTTTGCTTTTGCTTCTTTGCTGTTCTGGCTGGTTCAGTGTTTGCTTCTTTCTCACCATTGGATTTGCGCTTTCTTGACTTTTCACTTTCTCGTGAATTTTCTGTCTTATGTTTAGAGCCATTTGGGTCAACTTTAATTTTTTCCATCTTGTGATGAAACCCAGTTGACTGAACTTGATTCCTCTCTTTATGGCGCAACAGTGTATGGACGTTATCAATAGAAAACTCTACAATTGGACGGTGTTCTGGTCCGAAAGTCCCTGGAACACATGTAAAAACACGAGATAATTCAGCTTAGATTCACCTGAGGTGGACAAATTGAAATAACGCTCTCTACACCAAAAAGCTAAACAGTACTCCATCTGGTCCTTGAAACAACTCACTTGTGAGTGATGAAATTAAACAGATCAATAAAAACATCTATAAAACTCTAAATCATCTCACACTACAATTTCCTCAGTAATGAACAACACAATCCAACATATACTCCAAGTCTTCAATAAGGGCAAATAGTAGGAAGGGTAGAGGGTTAAAAGCTTCATTGCAATTGTAAACAAAATCTTACAAGGACCACCACTACTTTACATAATCGTTATTTAAGGAGAACCTGAGTCCATAGAGTATTTCTATTGGAGTGTAGTATTACCAGGATTATTATTAAGAACTCTGAGAGCCACAAGTGCATGTTGGTGCTCAGTGAACTCCACAAGAGTGATTCTTGACTACCAGTTTACCCCTTTTAATATCCTCCAAAAACTTTATCTGCAATTTAGAGAGAGAAGCACAAAAGTTATTGAATATTGCTAGGCTGTAGATAGATAGACAGAGCTATCTGTGGTGATGACTAAATTACCTAAATAACTAATCACCACTTACCTGCCTGATCATGGGCTTTTGCTTAGTAGCTCGAGGAGTAACTACATCTAAGCAAAGTTTCTTAAGCTCTTTATCAGTCATTGATTTTGGAAGATTGTATATAATTAGTCGAGTCCTTGATACATGGAAGTTTGGTGACTTAAGTTTGATCATCTTCTTTTCATGCAATCTGTAGAGAAATACACTGAAACCGTTCATTCTCAAACAAATGCATGCACACGAGAAAAGGGGAAAAGATATTTTTCTTGAGGTTTTGAAATATTATTTTCCATACAAGCGGATAGGGTTTAATGCACCAAACCCCCCTGTGATTTTGAAATTCGGCGCATTAGCCCCCTGTGATTTAAAAAATGCATCAAACCCCCTTGTGTTTTAATTAATCATGCGCCAAATCCCTTATGTGAACAAATTCAATTGTCAAATAAAAGAAAAATGATTAACATTTTTGTATGATTCAGAAATTTTGACATATTTATTTGCATATTCAATCAAAATATTAGGAAAAGTGATTTTCAAATCGTTAAATTTATTCATAAAGGGGGTTCTGTGCATGATTAATTAAAACACAAGGGGGTTTGATGCATTTTTTAAATCACGGGGGCTAATGCGCCGAATTTCCAAATCACAGGGGGGTTTGGTGCATTAAACCCCAAGCGGATACAATAAACTTCCTTTGTTCTTTTTTAAATGCTCAAATTTGACAATACACAACTTTGACTATTGATATATTTCAATGACTATTAGTAAAAAAATATAAAAATATAAAGTATATTGTTATAGTTTAAATTGAGATGACTTTAAAATTATTATTAATAATTTACTTTGTTAACACATTGACCAATAAAATATAATCGAAGTAGAGTATGTAAGTAGTACAAAATTCAAGATATTGCAACTAATAAAGAACAAAGGTAGTATGCAGCGGAAGTTTTAGTATTTTATCTAGTAGATTTACATAAAGATTATCTTAGTACTAGTATACAGTTAGAGAGTTGTAGCACCTTTTAGGGAGATAGTTTATTGTTATTCTATTCCTATTATATAGTTTTTTCCTATTATTAAGGATCGGTAACCTCCTGTACATGTATATTTATCCTCTTTTGACTCTTTATTCAAACCTAAATGGTATCAGAAGCCTACCCTTTAGAAATAGCCGAGCAAACCTTTTTCCAAAGGATCCCATATCCAAAATCAGTTCAAACACTACCCTACCTCTCGTGTCTTCTACGACCTCTTCAAGAAAAGCACTTCATTCATCTATGCAGGTTACTGTTCATAGACTGAATGGAAGCTAGGGCTGAGCACGGATCTAGGATTTCCCGTCCAGTACCGAGAACCGTCCCAAACCGTATCAGAACCGAGCATACCGGCAAAAATATAATACTGTACCGTACCGAATTTTTTTAATAATATGGTACGGTACCGGTTCTTAAGCGAGAACTGTCCCGTAATGTCCCGAAATATTGGCTATATAAAATAGTACTCCATATATTATATTATATATTATATTAAGTATTATTTACACTTTGATTACTCAAAATTTTGGGTCTCAATACAATTATACGGACTCGATATTGATTGTTGAGACACGACTTAGAATTATGGCAGACTTATTCCGTTTCAAATATGGACTATTAAGTTGGTTTTGTTTGTCATTTGATGACATGCCTTTTGTTTTTTCAATTTCACTATTAGTTTTGTATTTCAGTTATGTTTGATTTCAATTTATAATTATTTATGTACAATCCTGCAATCCTATATATTTGTCATGTGATGACATCCCTTCAAATTTTTTACAATTATTTATTAATGCTAGACCTAAAATATTTTTTACTTTTTGGGAGTTAATTATTTAGGAATCGAATAGTACCGAAGAACTGTACCGTAACGGCATTATGGTGGCATAGGATTATGTTGTGGGTGTGGTGGAAGTCTTCAAGAAGAACGACTGCATCATGAGCATTAAGTTGATAACAGGAGATGAGATCATGTCAGGGGTAAGTGCCTATGCACCACAAGTGGGATTGGATGCATCTATCACTCAACAATTTTGGGAGGATCTTGAAGAGGTGGTGCGACGAGTGCCAAGGGGAGAGAAGCTGGTCATAGGAGGCGACCTCAACGGGCATGTGGGCCCGAATCGTGATGGTTTTGAGAGTATCCATGGCAGACATGGTTTTGGCACTAAAAATGAAGCGGGGAAGAACATTTTGGATTTTGCCTCGACATATGAATTGGTTGTGATGAACACTTGGTTCAAGAAAAGAGATTCTCACCTCGTGACCTATAGAAGTGGAGTTAATAGTACCCAAATTGACTACTTTTTAGTACGCACACTTGGAGAACTGGCTACACTGATTGTAAGGTTATCCCAGGTGAGAGTGCTGTCACTCAACATAGGATGCTTATGCTTGATTTTCAAGGTAAAAAGAAAAGGAGGATTAAGGTACAAGGGGAGCCAAAGATAAAGTGGTAGAGGCTAGAGGGGAATCTCCAACAAACTTTTATGCAGAAAATGTTGAAGGAAGATGTATGGTCCATTGATAATGACGCACATGTGGATGATGTGTGGTTATCAATGGAGTCCACCCTTTAACATAGTGGCGAAAGAGATACTTGGAAAATCTAAAGGAAGTCTACCACCAAAAAAGAACACATCTTGGTGGAATGATGAGGTGAAACAAGCAATAAGGATCAAAAGGGAATGCTATAAGAAATTGGGCAAAAGTTGGAGCGACGAGAACATAGAGGAGTACAAGGAGGCTAGAAGAAGAGCAAAGAAAGCTGTAAAGGAAGCAAGAGGAAAAGTAAACAAGGAATTGTATGCAAAATTGGATTCTAAGAAAGGAGAAAAAGAGATTTACAGATTTGCTCGTCTTCGTGATCGTAGGACTCAAGATATAGGAAAAGTTAAGTGTGAAGGATGTCGATCAAAGAGTACTAATGGAGGACGGAGAGATAAAAGAGAGGCGGAGGTCTTACTTTGATACACTATTCAACGAGAACAAAGCGCAAGATATCGGTGATTTGGCCATACCAGATTGTATGGTAAATCATGATTTTGTGAGAAGAATCCAAACAACGGAAGTTAAGGAGGCTCTGAGGAAGGTGGGGCGGAAGAAAGCAGTGGGTCCAGATGGCATACCGATCGAGGCTTGGAGAAGTTTGGGAGAGAGAGGCGTCGACTGGTTAACAAGTTTCTTCAACATGATTTGGAGAAACAACAAGATGCCAACAAGTTGGAGGAAGGGTACTCTTATCCCCTTATTCAAGAATAAATGTGATGTACAAGAATGTGCCAACTATTGAGGGATTAAGCTTATGAGTCACATCATGAAACTTTGGGAGCGAGTGAGCAAAGACTTCGAAGAACTATGAAGATTTCAGAGAATCAATTCGGTTTTATGCCTGGTCGCTCAACAACTGAGACCATTCACCTTCTTCGACAGCTTATGGAGAAGTATAGAGACGCTCACAAGGAAAAGACTTATGATAGGGTACCTCGAGAAGTTCTTTGGTGGGCCTTAACTAGAAAAGGCATATCATGCAAGTATATCAGTATCATCATGGATATGTATGAGGATTGTACTACAAGTGTTCGTACTAATGTAGGGAGGACTGCGGAGTTCCCTATTACTATCGGAGTTCACCAAGGATCGGCTCTGAGCCCTTTCTTATTTGCCATAGTCATGGATGAACTTACAAAGTCAATTCAAGACGAAATACCAGGGTGCATGATGTTTGCTGACGATATTATATTGATTGATGAGACGCAATGAGGTTTTAAAGCAAAGTTGGAAGTATGGCGACAAACATTGGAGAACAAGGGTTTCAGACTAAATCGGAGCAAGACAGAGTACATGGAGTGCAAGTTTGGTGGAGGTAGAAGCAGTGGTAATAGTGGAATTACTCTTGATGGTAAGGAGATACCGGTCAGTGATATGTTCCGTTACTAGGGCTACATAATTCAAAAAGACGGTGAGCTAGATGGAGATGTATCCCATAGAATCAGAATGGGGTGGATGAAGTGGAAGAGTGCATCAGGATTTCTATGTGATAGAGGTATGCAGACTAGACTGAAGGGTAAATTTTATAGGACAACAATTAGGCCTGCATTGCTGTATGGCGTAGAGTGTTGGGCGGTGAAACAATGTCACATTCAAAAGATGAGTGTGGCAGAGATGCGCATGTTGCGTTGGATGTGTGGGCATACTAGGAAGGACCACATGCAAAATGAGACAATCAGACAAAGGGTGGGAGTAACACCTATTGAAGACAAGATGTGGGAGTCTCGCCTACGGTGGTTTGGTCATGTGCGTAGAAGACCGAGTGATGCACCTGTCAGACGTGTTGAGATGTGTGGAGAAGTGGCAGGGAAGAGAGGGAGAAGAAGACCCAAACAGACGTGGGTTAGGGGAGTCCGAAGTGATATGCTTCTTCTTGGGTTGGATGAGGGTATGGCTTTGGTGAGAGCAAAGTGGAGGGCGGGTATTCGTGTAGAGTGATCTCGTATTATTTTTTGCCCTCATCTTTTTTCTTCTTGTTTTTTATTCTTTTATCCTTATATATATATAAACATTATTTTTATCCTTTTTATTTTATCATTTTTAGGTATATTCATCTCGTTTCATATTATCTTTTTATAATAGCTTATTTTTATCTTTATTTTCTTTCTTTTCCTTTTGGTGGTGATATCATGTATCGATTCACGTTTGCCGACCCCAATATCTTTTGGGACTAAGGCTTGGATGTTGTTGTTGTTTGTAACGGGACAGGTTCTATACATATTCGGGACGGTACCAATTCTTTGGGACGGGACAGATTCTTTTAAAAAACCGTCTCATACCTTCCCATGCTCACCCCTATTGGAAGCAACTACTTGGAATGGTCTCAATCCGTGAAGTTGGTCACTGATGGTAGAAGCAAACTATGGTTCTTAATGGGTAAACCCCATGTCCCAATAACAGATAAACCCAATTACAAAGTACTCTCCGTCTAGCTAAGATTGTCTCATACCAAATTTGTAAAATTTGTGTAGTTCTAAATCATTCTTACTTTATCAATTCAATATGAACCAAATAAACTAATCTTTCTTAATAACCGTGTCAGTTCTTCGTGTCCCATTGTTAGTGGGACGGAGGTAGTATAATGATTGGAGAACTCCTTGATCATTGCTTGGCTGCTCATTCTAATGGATTCATAAATGGCTCAATCCCATATGTTCCTCAAAACGACGAAAGAAGTTTGGGATGCTGATTGTGAGACCTATTCAAACATTGAGAACTTCGCACAAACCTGAGCTGAAAACCCAACTATAGGAATCCAAACAGGGCCAACTTGATGTGACCACCTACTACACCTAAATGGTCACTTTTTGATAGGAACTTGATCACTGCAACAACATATGGGAGAACTAGAAGGGCCAAGCTTGTCAGCAGAAGCATGAAGAAAATGACCATGTCTTTATGTTCCTTGCTGGTGTGAATCAAAGCCTTGACAACTTCAAGGGCAGAATTCTTGGTCACAGACCCCTCCCGCCAATCTGCGAGGTCTTCCCTGAAGTTTGTCTTGAAGAAAATCGGCGCAAGATCATGAACACGGACAAACATCTGATGGACAATGGCAACAATACAAATAATGCTTCTGCACTGGTAGTTCGAAACAACAAACAAGGTGGGGACAAGAAGAAGAAAGTCAAGAAACCCTGATGTGATTTCTGCAAGAAATTTTGGCACAGCTGTGTTACCTGCTGGAAGATTCACGAAAAACCACCCGGATGGAAAGCTAAATCCAATCAAGCTCTTCAGACCATGGTTGAACCCACTCAAGAGAAACAAGACTAATCAGAACCGGCCCAATTCACTCAAAGACAAATAGAGCAAATTCTAAAATCATAACTGAATCTGATAGAGCAACTTTTGATAACCTTATTGTGTCCAACTTTATTTCAAAATACAGATCATTCAATTTTCCAATGTGAAATTTGTGCACTTGCTAAACATCATAAAAGCATATATATATATACTCCCGGTCCATATGAATATTCTGTACAAACCATTTCCATTGATTCATACAGACCTTTGGGGTCCTCACGTATCACAACATGTTTTGGCAAAAGATGATTTATAACACTAATTGATGACCACACTACAGTTTGTTGAGTATCTTTGTTAAAATAAAAGGCTGAAGTAGAGCAAGTTTTTAAAAATTTCTACAACATGATACTCGCACAATTTGACACTAAAATCCAACTTCTTTGGAGTCATAATGGTAGGGAGTATTTTGCAGAATTTTTAGGATAATTTCTTTAAGAAGAAGTGATTGTTCGACAAAGTTCATGTATTGAAACACCACAATAAAATGCTACAGCCGAAAGAAAAAATATGAGGTTGCTCGTGCACTTATGTTCTCTACCAATATTCCAAAATACTTATGGGGTGATACAGTTTTACATACTGTTTAATTGATAAATAGAATGCCATATAAGGTTCTTCAATTCAAAACTCCAATTACATAGTCGTTATGGCGGGCTTTCGCGGCGCGGTGCCATCGAACCTCCATACAGCCATGGTGATATGGTGTCTGCTGTGGCGACATCGCAGCAATACATCGACATAAGTACAATAATAAATGCATAGTATGTTTTATATAATCAGACAATCACAAATTAAGGAGTAAAACATCTAATCATAGATACAACACAACCCATTAGACCATAACTAATAAATCATAAAACACAAGACTTATCACTTACTAATGGTAATTACTAATTACTAAAACAAAGAAGCTATATTTTTTAGAACATAAATCAAAATTTAAGTTTAAACTTGTTTTAAATGGAATAAATAGTGGAAACGTGGAAAATGAAAATGAAAATGACTAATTTACATAATTGTTCCCCTAGAGAATTGTTCCCCAAATATACATAATTTGATTTCTCTCTACATATGACTGAAAATGAAAAATCATGAAATAATTAACTAACATACTTTCTATCAAATATCATCATATTTGATAGAAATATGCACAGAGAGGGGGATCAGATATACGCAGCCTTACCCCTGTACTAAAGCACAGAGAGGCTGTTTTCGGATGACCCATGGTGAAAATCGCGACGAGAATTGCATGGAGTGACCGTTGCTTCATAACAAAGAAGCGCAGCCAGTTTAGTGAGCCATTTTGCTTTATTCCATCTATTCCCAAGCCAAAAAATAGTGAATCTTTGGCTCCACTTCAAATGATGGAAATACTTTCTATCAAATACAAAAAATTAAATTCATATAGTTGAAAAAAATATGTAAAATAAATTCAGAAATATCATAAAAATCATGCAGTAAACGAGAACTGCAAATTCCTCTCCCTATAAACTAAAAGAAACCCTTCAGTGAACAAGATGGAAAACATAAAAAGAACTGAGATGTTGTGGATGCCAAAGACGAGCGAGATGGCGGCGGTCGATGAGCAAGACGGCAGCGGGCAATGAGCGAAACGGCGGGGGCGGGCGATGAGCGCGATGGCGGCGGCGGGCGATGAGCGAGGCTTCCGCGGCGGGCGATGAGCGAGACGGCGGCGGGCGATGAGCGAGACGGCAGCGGGCGATGAGCGAGACGGCGGCGGGCGATGAGCGAGACGGCGGCGGGCGATGAGCGAGACGGCGGCAGGCGATGAGCGAGACGGCGGCAGGCGATGAGCGAGACGGCGGCAGGCGATGAGCGAGACGACGGCGGCGAGCGATGAGCAAGACGACGACGGCGAGCGATGAGCGAGACGACAGCGGCGAGCGATAAGCGAGGCGACAACGGCGAGCGATAAGCGAGGCGGCAGCGACGAGTGATGAGTGAGACGACATCGACGAGCAAGACGCAGCGTCATGGAGCGTTATGGCTTCATTCAGACGTCGTGTCGTTGATGCGGAGACGCTAGAAAACACAAGGCATGTCGAGCCTCCATGACGAGCACGATTCAGTGCCGTGACGCCAAGATGACGACATGGCAACACTGCAATGCCAAGGTGACGACATGGCAATGCCCCAACAACTATGTCCAATTCAAATCCTAAAAAGAGAATTCCCTAACGCAAGATTGATAAGTTCCATGTCAATAAAAGTCTTTGGTTGCACAATTTTTATTCAAAATCTCAATAGAAAGCATGGAAATTTGAACCAAGGGCGAGAAAGTGTGACTACGACTGAGGTGTTTAAAGTTCAAAATGTTAAATAATGAATTTCATATATTTGCAAGAAGAAATTGTTGGGCTTTCAGATGTCAACATGTTCATTCTATTAAAAAATAGGATCCACTGAATAAATGCCCTTACATCTTGCGCTTGGAGATATCACCTGCTGAAACACCTTCAGCAGCTGGGGTTCCTTCCAAAACAAGTCCTTCCTGCATTATAAATAAAAGTGCAAAGATTGTAATCACTATCAGTATAGATATTTTTATACGAGTTTCAACTGCTTTTGACAGCATTAAAAGAGAAGAAAGTTGATGGACCTTGGCAAGATAAAGGTTACGGTGGTCATGTTCCTCCTTTTTTGTTTTCTCTAACTCCTTATCCTGAGCTGTTTTTTTGTCCACAGCCTTGAAAACCTTCAATTGCCTACCCTTCAGTGGTATACCCAAACTAGATGAGTTGGCAGCTGAAAGAGAAGCTTCAGCAGCATCAACTGTTTTAAATTTGAGAAATCTGGTACCCCTTGGTCGCCTATGGATATTCAATACAGAGAGTCATACAGTGCAAAGAGAAAATATAGAGCCCCTTGGTGAGCTTTCTTTTTAGATTATCGACATCTTATATCAACTATTGTTACTGCATGCCGACTGATAATGAAAAATACTGTAAAGGTGCTTCGTTTTTGGTAAAATTGATGATATTGATGCATGTGGCTGTTAAGATAATACTTTTATTTATTTAAATATAACATTTTAGAACGTTTGTACCAATTCATCCATTTATTTATTTAAGTAATTAAGTATAAACGCATTATACAAAAAAATAATACTTGGTGACTTGGTGAAGAACTTGAACGAAGGACTCCACTTCACCAAATGCAGAAAAACGCTGTTTTATTTCTTCGTTATCAACATCGAAAGGAAGATTGTTTATAAAAATCGTCCGGTTCAGATCTTCTACTCCTTCAGTCCACATGGTATTTTTCTCTTTACTACAGCTTTCTGGAATAATAACTTCACTCTTTTCTCCATCAAGCAAGCTGGAAGAATCATCATCCGCAGAAGCAGCTGCCATCCCTTTCGAAGTGGATGACATTAAATTTTCAAGAACTTTCCTCGCAACATCTGCTTCCATATCAATATTTACTTGTGGCTGTGTGTCTTCTCCTTCTCCATCAACTTCTTCTTCTTCCTCTTCTTCAATCTCATTACTAAGATCTTGTTGGGACTTGGCATCAATATCTATTTCCTAACCTTCAAATAAACACTAATGTTATCGCCTTCATCACTTTCATTTTGTCCTTCTGTAAGGAAAGTAAGAACGTAAGCAAGAGACGGAAAATGATGTTGTAACAAGTTACAAGAAGTATGGTTTTGTTTGGATGGAGGGTTTTGGGGGGAAGGTTTTGCATGACTTAGGTCTATATTTTGATTAAAAGAATGTTTCTAAAACAAATGAAGTAATAGTAATGCGATATGACCACCCTTTAACATTTATAAAATCTCGAAATGTAGATAAAAAATGTAGATTAAGCCCCCCAAAACTTCACACTACTATTTTCCTTTTCAAAAAACCAGCATACAACTAAAAGCCAGAAAAACCTATACAAAACACATAAAAATCTTCAGCTATATATGAAGAAATAAACAATCCTAAGACAATATTCTTTTTCACCCGAAACAAAAAATCACATAAGAAACCAAATATGCATAATACACAACTAAAAGCCAACCAATTTTGCCATCCTCTAAGGTTGCAGCAGGTTGACTATCAGCAACATAAACCTTTTTGGGTACAGCCCAATCAATAGCAATAGGTCTTCCACCAAAAGTCTTTCCATTGAAAGTCATAATAGCCTGTACATCCAAACATTGAGAAACAATAAGAAATTAAGACTGAAAGAAACACATAGTAAATAAATAGAAACTATAATATGTAAAGTTATACAACTTCAATGGAGATTAGCAACTTGATGCATGCTACAGTATAATATTATGGAAAGATAAACAGAGTGATCAAGTAGAACAATGAGGAGTAAAAGTTGATTGACTTGCTTGATTGATTTATTGTGATTATTATTTGATTTTACTACCTATATTAGGTAATCTATTTTAGAAGTGATTTTCTAGGATTTCCTTTAACTTGATTTCTGCATTCATATGCATGTAATCCCTCTTATAAAAGGGAGCTTTGCTATGCTAATAAAATATAATAGAAAACCAAGGAGAAGGAAAATGACTTAATTTCCATAGCCCCTATCCGTTTATCATTTATAGTTCATTCCCATGGCACAAAGAATTCTGGTACATAACACTAGCAGAGTAAAAGCTGAGTGCGTGATTTGGCCATGTGTGTAGAAGACTGCTAGACGAGTTGAGAGGTGGGGAAAAGAGGCGGGGAGGAAGACCCAAACAGATGTGAATCAGAGGAGTCAAAGAGATATGCTTCTTCTTGAGTTGGTTGAGAGTATGCCCTTGGTTGAGCAAAGTAGAAAGAGAATATTTGTTTGAAGAATTGATCTCTTTTCATCATTTTATCTTTCTTGTGTTCTTTATCTTTCTAACTTTTTATCCTTTTTTATTTTATCAATTTTACTCCTTTTTTATATTATCATTTATATCTTTATCTTTATTTGTTCTTTTTTATTTTATCTTATTTGTTTATCTTTCTTATAATGCTGCCATGAAAAAGATAAGAGAGGAAATTGTTGTGGTAAGCGTGTCACGGTCTATAATATCACTTAGTCATACATCACATGACATGAATCGAAATATGAATATCGCTCGCTACAGCTAGATTGACACCTGTAAGCAATGTGCCATCCTTCCACCTAGAGGTAGAGTCAAATATGCAAGGGGGCGTTACACTTAAAAGGCCTAGGAGTGGTGATAAGAATGTTATGGTTGCTAGGTCGTCGCTTGAAAGCAAAGGACTCTTCCAATGCCCACAATGGTGTCAAATATGTGAGGGCATGGTGGGTGTTGAGATGGTGTTAAGAATAGAAGGTGAAATTCTAGAATGCGCTTTGGGACATAGAACATTGGGTCTACCTCATCATCTGAGGTAGATGAGGTGACGAGGAGTCAAAGTGTTTCTTCCAATCTGTTCAGCATTGCAGCACAGCTTCTTGCAGAACTCCTCGATGTTGTCATGGATCTTCTCCGGCAAGTCCCTCCCCAGCTTGAATAAGTTGATCCCATATTCCCATCCTCAGAAATCCGACCGCCGGTGACGCTAGAAGTTCCGGGTAGGAGCTGCTGAGTTGTAAACCAGAGTTTCATGAAAGGCTTCTCCAATCCATGTTGGACTTGGCGTTGACGATAAGGTCCGCCGCTCCTTTACCAAACAGGGCGGCGGCGTCGACGCGGTTGACTTTGCTCACAAATCAGCTCGATGGCCAAGTAGAGGTCCCGTCCAGGCAGCCGAATTTCAATGGAGGAGACATACATATTGTGAGTGATCTCCTCTACTCGACGGCCCCTGAGTGCAGGTGTATAAAAAAACGAGAATAATGCGGAGTAGTAGGTTTGGGAAAAAGAATAGAGAAGTGGGGCAGAAGAAAAAGGGGGTGAGAGAAAGTAAAAGAAAAGAATTCAGGTAAAACAACCGGATTGCCACGTCAGCGGAGCAACCGGTAAACCGAAGAGTAACCTACTAAATTATAAAATTGACTGGTTATTTAAATTTATTACGTTAATTGACTTTTTTCATATACTATGGTGGCCTATTTGACAGTTTTCCCGAGAAATATCAGCATTATTGTTTAAAATTGTGCAATGCCTTTACGCAATAAGGCATATGATCATTGCGTCCGACATAGAGCGGAAGTTGATGCGCACCTCAAATAACAGGCCTAACTGCTGCAGCCCAACTTCCCAAAATAATTTTATTTTAAAAATGCATACCGTATTTGGCATAGTATATACGTTTGCATATCGAGTAGCTAGTAGCGACTTCTGCAAAGATTAAAGGGCGGCTGGCTTTCTTCTCTGTGGCGGTTATCTTCTACAATCTTCTGCGTGCTTTCATCCTTTTCTTCACTCTAACACATGTATGGCCTGGTTGTCTACGTATTTTATTTGTTTATCGATAAAATTGACATAGGAGTTGATGGAATAGTGGGCATTGCATGGGCAGAATAACAAGTACTCCACTAAAGATATTTTAGTAGATGAGTATTACTTTATCAGCTTATTTGTGAGTTAGTGGATGAATTCATTATACTAGTATAATTTTATTAACTTTTTTGTTAGTTAATTGATGAATAATATACTACGTATAATCTTATTAACTATTTTGTTAGACCGGAGAGGGTGAGAAACGTGAGCTTCTTAGCCGGGATCAACTCTTGGCTAAGAAGTTGTTCTGTTCGTCTTAATCTTATTACTTATTGCTTATTCGTATTTTATTCAGATCAGATCAGATCAGAAAAATTCAGATCAGATCAGATCAGAAAGATTCAGATCAGATCAGAAACATTCAGATCAGATCAGAAACATTCAGATCATATCAGAAACATTCAGATCAGATCAGGAACATTCAGATCAGATCAGGAACATTCAGATCAGATCATAAAAGTTCAGACATGATTTATCCCTTTTATTATAATAATAATTATAATAATATTAATAATAATTATAATAATAATAATAATTATAATTATTATTATTATTATTAATTTATTATTATTATTATTATTGTTGTTATTGTAATTACTATTATTATTGATATTATTATTATTGATATTATTATTATTATTATTATTAATTTATTATTATTATTCTTGTTTTTATTGTAATTATTATTATAATTACTATTATTATTGATATTATTATTATTATCATCATCATCATCATCATCATTATTACTATGACTACTATGATTATTATTATTATTATGATATTTATTATTATCATGATTATTATTATTCTTATTACTATTATGGTTGTTGTTGTTGTTATTGTTATTAGTATTTTTTTGTTATTATATTACACGGAGTAATTACAATTAAAATTATAGAAATAAATATAATAATTATAATTAAACTTATAATTATAGAAATAATTATAACTAAAAATATAATTACAATTATAATTATAGCTTTTTTTTGTTTACACTAGGAGACGTCTTGGGGGGGCTGAAGTAAACTAGGTTGAAACTCACCCCATTGATTTTGAACCCGAGACCTCCCATAGAGAGTGAGTCGGCGACCAGCTGAGCTGGACCGCTTCCTCTAATTATAGCTATATTTATAACTAGTGTAATACGTATAATAATAATAATAATTATACCTATTATAATTATTATAATTATAATTATAATTATAATTTTTTTATAATTATAATTATAATTATAATTATATTTAAATTATATATGTGTAATTACATTTCTAATTATTATAATAAAAATTAAAATTATAAGTATAATTTTAGAAATATTTAAATCAGACCAGATCAGAAGGATTCAGATCAGATCAGAAGGATTCAGATCAGATCAGAAACATTCAGATTAGATCAAGAACATTCAGATCAGATCAGGGACATTCAGATTAGATCAGACCAGATCAGAAAGATTCAGATCAGATCAGATCAGAAACATTCAGATCAGATCAGATCAGAACTTAAAAAATCCAGATCAGGTGAAGAGAACAGCTTCTAAGACCCAGGAGCGACTAGCTCAAGCCCAGCAACGTATGAAGCTGCAGTATGACAAAACTCATTGTGATCTTTCCTTCCAGGCAGGAGATTGGGTCTGGCTACGCATTCATCCTCACAGACAACTCTCCCTAGGTCACGGTAACCATATGTTAATTCCAAAGTTTCATGGATCATTTCAGGTTCAGTCATGAGTTGGAGAAGCAGCATACAAATTGAAATTACCACATGCGAGCCGCATTCACGATGTGTTTCATGTCTCTCTTTTAAAGCCACACAAGGGGATCCCACCCACAACCATGGGAACACTGCCGTTGCTAGTTCACCCCTGACGAAATTACACCGCTTGCTATTCTCCGCAACCGTTTGCATCATGGCTCCTTAGAATTCCTAGTCTAGGGGAAATCAATTGAAGAGCCTCCTGGGAACCTGCAGATACATTTTGGGCCATGTATCCAGATTTTGAGCTTGAGGACAAGCTCCTAGTCAACGAGGGGACTGATATTATGGGCAAGTTTTGGGGCCAAAAATATCAAAGGTGCAGGATTGGCCAAAGGGGTGATTGGGCCGAAGAAATTCAGCCTAATGAAACCGCTGAAAGTGGCTGACTTTGGGAGCCAGTTCCTGCATTTACTTTACTTCCTGCATTTACTTTACTGCTTTTTAATTCAGTTTAGCAAGATTCCAAATTCAGTTTTAAGTAAGTTTCTTAATTCAGTTTTAGTGAGTTTCCTAATTCTCTTTTAGGACTCTTGTAAGACCTATATATATGGGTCCTCAGTTGTTTTAGAGGGAAGTTTTTGGCAGATTTAATTATTGTGTCTTGACAAGGTTGGGCACCGAATTAATTCCAATAAAATCTTTTATTTTCGTTCTCTCTCTCGGCTCATCATAGATCCGAAAAATTATTCATCTCAGTACTTGAATTCGCTTCCTTTGTCTCGTTCTCGACCTTGGACGAGATCGTGTACGCGCCCTCTTAACATCTGATTTGATATTTTATGATGTTTTATAATCATAAATAAGTCCCCATGAAAATGTCTTAGAAGGTCTGGGAGTTTATGAATGATAAAGAAAATATGTCAAAAAGATAATGCACCTTTTCTGCATCTTGCTTGGACGTAAATTTAACAAAGGCAAAGGATAAACTGCAAAATACAACATGGCAAACAATAAAAGAAATTTGGAAAAGATAGAGATTACTAAGTGTTCAATGATTGATTTATTACCCTGTCTCTCCATTAAGGGGAATATTGACATCCCATACAAAGCCAGCAGTTGAAAACATGGTCTTTAGCTCACTCACTTTGGTCTGCATTCAGTTCGAACAAATTTACAAATAGATTTTTCCCTAATCGGCTAATTCAAACACACCACACACAAATAGAATAAAATGCTAGAAAGAAGATGTTACCTGAAAAGGAATATTCCTAACTATGAGTTTCCATTTATTAGTCTTGGAACCCTGGCATTATATTTAAAAAAGTCAGTCGCACAACATTAAAAATCAGACGCATCAGAGAAGATATTAAGACAATCTATACAACATCCAAATAGTTATTAGTTAGAAAGAGGCCCAATAAATCAGCAAGTATCACATAAGAAGGGAGATCATAAAAAAATCAATGGTCAAACAGTCAATCTCAGAAACACATGAAGAAAAGACTCTTACGCAACTAACTGGAGTAGGAAAGACCGTGTTACCATTAATAATATTTAATAGGTCTTAACTTCCAAACTCAGAGAAAAAGAAAGGTCGGAGGTGAGGACATCCAAGAGAAAGCACCCGCAATAGACAATAAAATTATTTTAAGTCGCCAAATTCATATTTGTGGACAACAATTACAAATCATTTTCTGAGCCAGTCAGTATAAATGAAAACTTTACCTCTCCACCAAGTTGGCGCACCCAAATAGTCCTCCCTTGTACCTCTCTTTGGTGTAAGGTTGCTACAGAAGTTTGAGCAGATTTCACGAGTATACAGCACTGATGAAGCATTGACTGTACACCCATCTTGAGCCAACCCTAATTTACTCAAAAAATGAAGTGGAACTACAAGCATTAATTGATACTCCCTCCGTCCCTTATAACTTTGCCAACTTTCCTTTTTTGGATGTCCCAATAACTTTGCCACTTTCCCATTTTAGTAAAGAATTTGTGGTTCCAGTTAATTCTCTCTCCTCTGCACAAACCTCAACCACACAGTTTTTACTTTATTAATTCCCGTGCCGGTCAAACTTGGCAAAGTTATTAGGGACGGAGGGAGTATGAACATGGCGGAATACTTAAAAAAGTGGCTGGTGCTAATAAGTGATGTTTTTATATCTGGTCAATGTAATATTACCTCTTGCCCGAAAAGATTCGCCATATTGACTTTTCTTGATCTATGGCGGCAAACTTTAGAGAATGATTTTAATTATTATATTTGTATATAATTTATACATTTTTTACTTTTATGAAAATAACTCCGCCATGAGAGTATTTTTCATATCATGCCTGTCCCAAACCAGAATAAAGGAGGGTGTTGTGATAGGCGTGTGAAGGCCAACAGTATCACTTAGTCACATCACATGACATGAATTGAAATATGAATATTGCTACAACTAGCTCGTCGCCAATAAGTGACGTGTCATCCATCCGCAGGTGTGGTGTCAAATATGCAAGGGAAAGCTACGATTTATAAGCCTAGCGTGGTGATAAGAATGCTAAGGTTACTAGATCATCGCCTGGAAGCGAAGCGCCACTTCAATGTCTGGGGATGGTGTCAAATATGCAAGGGCATGGTGGGGGTCGATGTGGTGTGAAGAAGAGAAGGCAAGGTGCTAAATTGTGTTTTGGAACGTGGAATGTTGGCTCTCTTACGGGAAGATCATCTGAGGTAGTTGAGGTTATGAGGAGGAGGAGGAGGAGGAGGAATAATAGCATTATGTGCGTGCAAGAAACTCAATGGGTTGGAGAAAAGGCACGAGAGATTTATCTCAGAGGTTTTAAGTTGTGGTTTTCGGGGAGAGATAAGACCATAATGGAGTAGGCATTATTCTGGCGTGTGATTATGTTGAGGGAGTGGTGGAAGTCTTTAGGAAAAACGACTGTATCATGAGCATTAAATTGGTACTAGGAGATGAGATCATGATCGTGGTAAGTGCATATGCACCACAGAGTGGGACTGGATACATCTATCACTCAACAATTTTTGGAAGATTCGAGGAAGTGGTGCGATGAGTGACAAGGGGAGAGAAGTTGGTCATAGGAGGCGACCTCAACGGGCATGTGGGCCCAAGTCATGATGGTTTTGAGAATATCCATGGAGGACATAGTTTTGGCACTAGAATTGAAGCGGGGAAGAACATTCTAGATTTTGTCTCGACATATGAATTGGTTGTAATCAACACTTGGTTCAAGAAAAGACTCTTACCTTACGACCTATAAAAGTGGAGCTAGTAGTACCCAAATTGGCTATTTTTTAGTATGCACGACTTGGAGAACTAGCTACATTGATTGTAAGATGAAAAGAGAATGCGAGTTAAGGTAAAAGTGGAACCAAAGATAAAGTGGTGGTGGAGGCTTGAAGGAGATCTTCAACACAGTTTTACACACAAAATGTTAGAGGAAGATGTATGGTGTATTTAAAATGACGCACATATAGACGATGTGTGGTTATCAATGGAGTCGGCCACTAACAAAGTGGCGAAGGAGATACTTGGAGAATGATGAGGTGAAATAAGCAATAAAGACCAAAAGAAAATGCTACAAAAAGTTGGGCAAAAGTTGGAGCGATGTGAACATAGAGGAGTACAAGGAGGCTATAAAAGGAAAGCAAAAAAAAACGTAAAGGAAACAAAAGGGAAAGTGAACAATGAATTGTATGTAAAATTGGACTCTAAGGAAGGAGAAATATATATTTACATACTTGCTCGCCTTTGTGATCATACCCAAGATATCGAAAAAGTCAAGTGTGTGAAGGATGTCGACCAAAGGATACTAATGGAGGATGAGGAAATAAAATAGAGGTGGATGTCATACTTTGATATCTTGTTCAACGGGAATAAAGTGAAAGGCATTGATGATCTTACTATACCAGATTGTATGATAAATTGGGACTTTGTGAGAAGGCAAATGACAGAAGTTAAAAATGATCTGAGAAAGATGGGGCAAAAGAACGCAGTGAGTCCAGATGACATACCGATTGAGGCCTTGAAATGTTTGGGAGAGAAAGGCATCGAGTGGCTAACACGTTTATTCAACATGAATTGGAGAAACAACAAAATGTCAGTGAGTTGGCGAAAAAGTGTTCTCATTCCCCTATTTGAAAATAAGGGTGATGTACAAGAATGTGTCAACTATCGAGGGATTAAGCTTATGAGTCACACCATGAAACTTTGGGAGCGAGTGTTTGAGCAAAGACTCCGAAAAAATGTGAAAATTTCAGAGAATCGGTTTGGTTTTATGTCTGAATACTCAACAACTAAGGCCATTCACCCTCTTAGACAAGTTGTAGAGAAGTATAGAGACACTAAAAAGGATCTGCCATTGATCTAAAAATCGGGCTAGGCGCCCGCCTAGGCGCCGCCTAGTCGCTAGGCGGTGACCAGGCGCCCCGAATTTGGTGTAATCGGTCGAAAAAATCGGTCGGGCGCCTGGGCGGGCTAGGCGGACGACTAGGCGGCTAGGCGGGCGCCTGGGTGGGCTAGGCGGTCTGAATTAAAAAATTTCCCGAGCCAACTTTTTTTCCCCGTTTTGACTTAAAACAACGTTTGATCAATAAGTATTCTATTCCTATATGATTTAGTTTCATATTACTATGATAATAAAATAATTTTGAAATATTTTAAAAAAAATAGAATATATATATGTGCATTTTTAGAGACTAAAAATATAAATCTTTACATTCATCTATTAATTATTTTATTATTTATAATTTCTCTACAAAAACCATAATGTATAATGATTATATGAGCTATTCCTATTGTCAAAATATTATAAAATTTTTGGTAATATATTTAAAATTCAATGAAAATAAAAATAAAACAAAGAAATACAAGGAAAAAACCTAGGCGGCCTAGGCGCTAGGCAGCCAGTCACCGCCCGACTAGCGCCTAGCGCCTTTTAGAACACTGGGATCTGCATTTGGTGTTCATTGACTTCAAAAAGGCATATGATAGAGTACCTCGAGAAGTCCTCTAGCGGGCCTTAACTAGAAAAGGGATATCACGTAAGTATATTAGGATCATCATGGATATGAATGAGGCTTGTACTACAGGTGTTTGTACTAGTGTAGGGAGGACCGCAAAGTTCCCTATTACTATCGAAGTGCACCAAGAATCAGCTCCGAGTATTTTCTTTTTTTGCAATAGACATGGATGAACTTACAAAATCAAAATTTGATTCGTAAGTTCATCCATGTCTAAGTATATGCGGTGCATGATGTTTGCCGACGATGTTGTATTGATTGAGGAGACGCAATCGGGTGTTAAAGCAAAGTTCGAAGTATAGCGACAAACATTGGAGATCAAAGGTTTTAGACTGAGCAGAAGCAATACTGAGTATATGGAGTGCATGTTTGGTGAAGGTAAAAATAGTGGTAACAGTGGGATTACCCTTGAAGGCAAGGAGATACCGGTGTGTGATATGTTCCGTTACTTAGGCTCCATAATTCAAAAGGATGGTGAATTAGATGAAGACGTATCTCATAGAATCAGAGCAAGGTGGATGAAATGGAAGAGTGTATCAGGATTTCTATGTGATCGAGGTATGCCGACTACACTGAAGGGTAAATTTTATCGAACAACAATTAGATTTGCACTAATGTATGGCGTGGAGTGTTTCACGGTGAAAAAATGTCACATTCAAAAGTTTAGTGTGGCAGAAATGCGTATGTTGCATTGGATGGGTGGACATACCTGAAAACCTGCTTGAGAAATGAGATCACCAGACAAAAGGTACGAGTAGCACCTACAGAAGATAAGATGCAGGAGTCTCGTTTGTGTTGGTTTGGTCATGTGCACAGAAGACCGAGTGATGCACCTGGTAGACGACTTGAGAGGTGGGGATAAGAGGCGGGGAGGAGAGGGAGAGGAAGACCCAAACAGACTTGGATTAGAGGAATCAGAACTTGTATGTTTCTTCTTGGGGTTGGATAAGAGTATGTCTTTGGAGAGAATAGAGTGAAGGGTGCATATTCGTGTGAATAAGTGACCTCTTTTCCTTCTTTCCTCTCTCTTTTCCTTTTATCTTTTATCTTCTTATGTTCTTATGTTACTTTTATATTTTTTTATGCTCTTTTATCTTTTAGCTTTCTTTTGTTCTTAAGTTGTTTTTACCTTAGATTTATTTATATATTGTCCATTATATCTTACTTTATCTTTTTATTCTTCTTATCTTTCTTCCATTTTTTGCTCTAATATCGTGGATGGATTCATGTTAGCCGACCGAAAATGTGGGGATAAGGCTTGGATGTTGTTTGATACTTTTATGAAAATATTTTGAATAAGGAACATTTTGAGTTAATTTTCACATTCAAAATAATTTTGTATTAAAAATAGGGAAAAGGTGCAAATAGGACCATGTACTAACCAAAAAATGTCAAATAAGCCCTTATTTAGGAGACTCTGTCCGGCCGTCGTCATTTGGGGTGGTTCCAGGTTGAATTTTTTGATGGATTTTTTTTAGCATCTTATTCATCAAGTCTAGTTTACTCATACCAAATTTCAGCTAAAACTTCAATCGGGAAGGCATTCAAATGAATTCTTGAAGATAATTGTGCTTCTAACTGCGCATTTATTTTCAACAATTCATTTGGAATTGGGAAAAGGTGCAAATAGGACCATGTACTAACCAAAAAAGGTCAAATAAGCCCTTATTTAGGAGACTCTGTCCGGCCGTCGTCATTTGGGGTGGTTCCCGGTTGAATTTTTTGATGAATTTTTTTAGCATCTTATTCATCAAGTCTAGTTTACTCATACCAAATTTCAACTAAAACTTCAATCGGGAAGACATTCAAATGAATTCTTGAAGATAATTGTGCTTCTAACTGCGCATTTATTTTCAACAATTCATTTGAATGCCTTCCCTATTGAAGTTTTAGCTGAAATTTGGTATGAGTAAACTAGACTTAATGAATAAGATGCTCAAAAAAATTCATCAAAAAACTCAACTGGGAACCACCCAAATGACGACGGCCGGACAGAGCCTCCTAAATAAGGGCTTATTTGACCTTTTTTTGTTAGTACATGGGCCTATTTACACCTTTTCCCTAAAAAATATATTGGTCAAAGTTGATTGTCATTGGCCAAGAAAAGTCAATTTTGGCGACCCTTTTCGGGACGGAGGGAGTAAGACATTTCTTAGAGAAATAGAGCGAGAGTATAGGGAGTTAAATAACAAAACGTAGGAAATGCAGATGTTATTATTACCATTATATTGAAGTTCTTCTTTTGGAAGAGTATAGGTAACAGAGCACACTGTACCACAACCTTTGGCGAGACGGTGAACTTCTTCTGCCATATCGGCAGAAAGAATACCTCCAATTATGACTGTCCTAGCAACCCTGTTTGTGACAACAAACGTACAAGATAATCACAAATTGAATTAGTAACAGTAAATACGTATTTAACCATCCACATTCATTGCAAGATATTCATTTTCAGCACTTAGAAGCTGTTCCGTTCACCTGATCTGAATGTTTCTGATCTGAATTTTTTAAGTTCTGATCTGATCTGATCTGAATTTTTCTGATCTGATCTGATCTGAATTTTTCTGATCTGATCTGATCTGATCTGAATCTTTCTGATCTGATCTGAACGTTGCTGAACTGATCTGAATGTTGCTGATCTGATCTGATCTGAATGTTTCTGATCTGATCTGAATGTTTCTGATCTGATCTGAATTCTTCTGATCTGAATCTTTCTGATCTGATTTGAATATTTCTATAATTGTAATTATAATTATAATTATAATTATTAGATTTATAATTGTAATTAAAAATATAACTTAAATAAAATCACAATAATAATCATAATTATAAAAAAATAATAATTAAAATTAAATTTAAAATTATAATAATTATACCAATTACACTAATTATAAATACAGATACAATTATAAATGTAATTATATTTTTAATTATGATTAATTTTATAATTATTTTTTTTGTAATTATAATTATAATATTTATCTCTATAATCATAATTATATCTATAAATACTAATTTAAATATATAATTACTCCGAAGTAATATAATATAATATTATATTATATTATATTATATTATATTATATTATATTATATTATATTATATTATATTATATTATATTATATTATATTATATTATATTATATTATATTATATTATATTATATTATATTATATTATATTATATTATATTATATTATATTATATTATATTATATTATATTATATTATATTATATTATATTATATTATATTATATTATATTATATTATATTATATTATATTATATTATATTATATTATATTATATTATATTATATTATATTATATTATATTATATTATATTATATTATATTATATTATATTATATTATATTATATTATATTATATTATATTATATTATATTATATTATATTATATTATATTATATTATATTATATTATATTATATTATATTATATTATATTATATTATATTATATTATATTATATTATATTATATTATATTATATTATATTATATTATATTATATTATATTATATTATATTATATTATATTATATTATTATAATATAATAATAATTTTATATTATTAACATTATTATTATATTATTAATAATAATATTATTATATTAATATATTAATATTATTCACAATAACTATAATATAATAATCATAATTAATATAATAATAAAAGTGATAAATCATGTTTGAATATTTTGATCTGATCTGATCTGAATGTTTCTGATCTGATCTGAATGTTTCTGATCTGATCTGAATGTTTCTGATCTGGTCTGAATCTTTCTGATCTGATCTGAATGTTGCTGATCTGATCTGAATCTTTCTGATCTGATCTGAATGTTTCTGATCTGATCTGATCTGATCTGAATCTTTCTGATCTGATCTGATCTGATCTGAATCTTTCTGATCTGATCTGATCTGATCTGAATAAAATAAGATTAAGGAATAAGTAATAAGATTAAGACGAACGGAACAGCTTCTTAGAGTTCAGTAGTCTACCTCTGCTTTTCTAAACCACTCTTTTCATCAAGCATGCCCTTCCAAAGTACTGAAGCTTTTCTTTTTCTTCTGGGATTATTTGAACATGTTTGGGAGCCTACAATTTCAGGCTTTAAATAAAATCAGCTCTTGTTTAAAATTTAACCATGTCTGGAAACATTCAGCTTTTAGAACTCCCTTTTAGCATAAGTTTTAATAGGTTTTTCATATTTGGAAATTTGTAACAGTAATTGGTTATTGAAATAATATTATCTCTCATCTGTCCCAAACACACTCTAAGTAGCGTATCAGAGTTTTGAACCTGCTTCTTGGGAGTTCAGGCTTGACTGCTTCATCAGGCAAACTCTCGTTCCTGTCTCTCTCTTGAGGATCCTTCTTGTTTGCATCAACTAACAAAATCGCAGAAAGAGATTAACATTCCTTGAATTCCTCCATTATATTATTTTAATTCATTCTCCTAAAATTTTCAATCAACAACAAATATTTGGACTTATGTCACACGTATATAACACGAACCTTGAGATCCCTTTGATTTACGTTGTTCAAGAGGGACCCGATGCATTGCATGTTTGACTCCAATTTTTCTCCCTCCAACTCTTGACTCATTTTTTTGCTCAATAGCACTATCTGCATCCTCAACATTTGCACTGTACTCCACAAACAGAACCAAAACCACAACCTATTACAATACTGCTACTATGAATATATGAACTAAAATAGACTTCATATACTAATAGGCATTGTTCTAAAAAAACGGCCTAGTCGGACCGATTAATCGGCCTAGTCGATCCTAACCGTAGAGGACTAATCGATCTAGTCGGCCAAAAAATCGGCCTAATCGGCCGCCTAGCGCCCAACGAGTTATAGAACAATGCTAATAGGAAACTACTATTACTAATAACAATAGGAAAATCGTGCTAATACTTATAAGCTAATAACAATTATAACTATAATAACAATAATAGTGTAATAATAAATATAACAATAAGCCCATATTAATAATAAGTTGATGTCATTGACTCGTTGGTACAGTGATGGTGAACTTACAATTGAACAAAGCCGATGCCTCGGTGCTCAGCAGTCCCTATGCAGTAGAAAAAGATGGACAATTAGAAGAGACTACCTTTGCTCCTATTTATTTGTGTTCTTTGAACAAATTTGCTTATTGCTTTTACAAATTCAATGATCATCAAATATTTTTTACAAACTTTACCCTTCTTATCCTTTTATGGTTCATCATCATTTCATCATTTTCATTTACCCCAGTGCCGCAAAGGCTCCCACCTGCGGTAGGGTAAGGGGGGTCGGATGTACGCAATCTTACCCATGTACGCAATCCTTTTATGGTTATGAAAGAAAAATTAAAAATGCTAGAAAGTAACCAAATTAAAAATCCTTTTGTAACCACAGTGCAATTTCTAGGTTTCGATACAACAACAACAAAAACAACATCCAAGCCTTATTCCCAAAATATTTTTCTAGTTTTCGATAAAAAAGACAAAAATCTACTACTCTGTAATTAGTTTTTAGCTTCTTCGTGCATCAGATTAAACAGAAAAACTAACATGTAAATGATTGGTTCTATCTATAGCTTATCAAGTTTAGTTAGTCAGAATTAAATTCCTTGAGCAGATATTATAATAGCGAAAATTCCATTAGCTTAGTTAGAACTGTATCAAAGAATATACCTTTCTTTGTTACCAAAAAACACCTTCTGATAGGGCCAACATCACTGAAAGATTCTTCAAGCTGTTTTATCACCCCAAATAAATATATTAGAGCTAAAGTACAAAATAAGATAAACAAATGTGTAGATATAGCAAATACAAATCCTGTTTAGTTGGGAGCTACCTGAGTGTTAGTAAAGGAGAACGACAAGTTGGAAACAAAGACAGTGGAGGTAGAGTATTGGCTATCACCACTTTCCCTTTTGATATTCTTCTTTCCCATGACAGAGGGAGTCAAAATTAATAAAAGCGTCAATGATTCGGAGGCAAATTAGCACATGTTCTTTTGAAGCTCCAAGCCTTCAAGTTCCAAGTCTTCACAGTGAATTCACCTTTTTCTGAATCACTAATCAACAAAACAGCCTTAAAATATAAATTACACAAGAAAACACAAAAGTATATAAGAAAACATATCATTCCAATTATCCCTCTGTTCCAAACTCTTCATTCATTGCTTACTTTCTAATTCCATTTTATATCATTTCAATTTCTCTTTTGTACATTAACAGGGCTTTTAATCTATTTTTCAAATAAGTATATTCCTTCTATATTAAATACTAATGATGATGAGTCGTAAAAAGCATCTGTGAATCCTCATAAGAGTCCAAAATGTGGCATCCTTTGTGGAAGGGGGGGACCAATACTGTTCCTTGCCAATTTTCCCTCACAAACATATGATAATCAAATAGTAACAATAATAACTATAACCTCTCCGGTAAAAAACCCCATGCTGATTGCCAAAGCTTCTAACATATATGTAATTTGCTATAAATCTATAATGTCAAGTCTTTTGTTGCATCAAATAAAATGTACAGTTGGAGTTGTGGGGAACAATATATGCTCCAAGAATAAAGGGGGTGTATTGAATATGGATTGCGGTGGAATTTTTTTAATTCATGGACTTTTAAAAAAGTCAATGGACTTTTAAATCATCATTTACCCCAGTGCCGCAAATGCTCCCACCTACGGTGGAGTAAGGGGGGTCGGATGTACGCAGTCTTACCCCTGTACCAAAGCACAAAGAGACTATTTCTGGATGACTCAATGAAAATCGCGTCCAAAATTGCCTGGGCTGACTGCTACTTCATAACATAGAAGACCAGACAGTTTGGTGATCCATTTTGCTTTATTCCATCATATTCTCAAGCCAAAAAATAATGAATCTTCGCTTTAAATCCATAGACTTTTTTATGAATGAATTCTATTTACTTTTAAATCCATGGATAGGTTTGTAAACTTTCAAAAAGTCCATAGACTTTTAAATCCGGAACGCCACTGCCGGTCGTCAGAATTTTCATTTAAATCGCCGCTACCGATCTACCTGTCCGCCTACGTCATCGGAGCTCGCCGTCATCGTCATCATACTGATCCGCCACCAACAAAACGGCTTTAGTTATGCAAGAGAACTAGGGGCAATTAATTATATTAATTAATTAAATTATGGATAAAATGTAATATTTAGTCCTATCAAGGGAAATCAAACATATAATCACATTTTGGGGAAAATGTTATGTTTTAGTATGATCCTGAGTAATTTCTTATGTATAATATGATAAAAACAAGTAAATAAATAAATGAAACAAATGCAATTCATCTAGCAACGCAGAGGTCTGCAAGAATAAGTGAAGCATAAGAATCCAAATTTATTTTTATTATAAAAAGGGAGAAGGCACAAAAAAGACACTAAGGTTATTAATTAAGTTCATATTGGAATTTTCTATTTTCCGGACTCGCTCTGGTCGGCCGTCGGCGCACGACGCCTCTGTTTGCTAGCCTCTAGGTCTCTGCTCGACTGAGCCTTGTTGTTCTGCTCTTCGCCTCTTCAGATTTGAGCCGGCCACTGGCCACCGATGCGAGGAGGGGCGGAAGAGCTTGCGGCGGCGGCCTAACATCATTGTATCTCCAGTAAGCGTCTGCCATTTCAAAGCGGAAATTGAACCCTAATCGAGGGAATAGGTGGCCGGTTCCGATTATAGCTGTAACACCCCCTACCCGGCCCGGAAGGCTCGGGCAAGGGAGCGCTACCCGCAGTGCCGAAGCACCAAAGCGTTGACTGACTTTTTCATTCTCTTTTTCATTATTCCAAAAACACTTTTATTTTAAAAGTGAACTAATAATGATAATAACTTTATCCAATTTTATGTTTGCGGAAGCATTCATATTTTACACATAATAATTAAGTAAATGTTAAATGTACTATTACATCATACTAGTATGATAATTACATATTTATTATGCAAACTAAATATGAATATTACTAAATGCAAGTGTGACTCTGTGCTGATTGGCAGGTTGCTCCCAAATGCTTTCCTCCTTGAACTTTGTGCCTCATATCGACTAGGTACCTACGCGAAGGACATACAAAATCCAACGCGCTAAGCAAATCTTGCTTAGTGGTGTTCATTCTTTCTCTTTACAATTTAGTGTCAAATCTCACATAGTAAATCAACAATTAAAAATGACATTTGCAAATATACTATATTGAAAAATATAAACTTAATCCATTTTGTTCCCAAATAGCTATTTAGTAATATAATAAAAAGTCAACTCTTTCGTTGAAATCTTTAATAACTTATAATTCACCCCTAAATTCTATGTCTCATAATCAAATATTCAAATTACAAGCCCTATTTGCTATAGTAACATGTTAACCTTCGTATATCAGGAATAATACAAAATCATCAATCAAATTAGTTATTTCAAAATATATGTCATATCACTTCGTTCGTAGTAGCTAGTTCATTATACTCCATTTGTTCAAAGTAGTAATTCTAATATTCTTCTAAATGTACAATATTCATATTAATATTCTACTCTTTAGTTGAGCTGTAATAACTCATAGTTTCCTTGATAACATATAGAGCGATATTCAAAGTATATTTTTCATTATGCACATTTTCTTTCAATGCTCTCTATCTTGATTTTCACCACTTTGTGTCACAGTCGAAATTCACATGAGCTATATCTAGCTGTAATTCAATATTTCATTTGATTTTCTTCTTGTCTCACTTTAACTTTCAATTACTCAATTTTCATCTTCTGCTCAATGTCAATCTTTCTATTTTCTTTTTCACACTTTTATTAAGTTTATGGAATTCTACTCCTTAATTTAATGGACTGGATGAACGGGGTGTTCTCATCTTTGGTATTGTCCACTCGGTGGCTACGGACCATCAGAGAACTATTTTGGCACTGTCCACTCGGTGGCTCTGGCCGGGGTTCGTTTGGGTACTGTCCACTCGGTGGCTACGGACCCGTAAACGAACATTTTGGGTGCTGTCCACTCGGTGGCTACGGACCCGTATAGAAGCGCGCGTGTGTCAAATATCAAGATTTGGGTGCTGTCCACTCGGTGGCTACGGACCCGAAATCATTGATCAAATTCTACGGCCGTGTTTTTATCCCTATTGGCATGCCAATCTATCCGATTCCAGAAACAAAGTTTCGAATTCCATTTATCTCATTAAATTCACTCTGTATCATTGCTATTGTCATTAATATTGTTTTCCGAATGAAAACAATATCATTATAATTAACTTATTATATCATCACTTATAGCATATTGGCGTTTAGATTGGGTTTATATATGTACGTAAATACACCCTTGTACATACGTACTTGTTCATTTTCATCTACATAAATATCTCTATACATATATCATGGATTTGTGTAAGTGTAATGCTTATTTTTTTCTATTGAATTGACTTTATAATTATAAGTACGTCTCACTTTAATCTTTAGTGATATAATCCGAATTAGCTATCTATACGTATGCATATAAAAAAATCTTGAATTTATAATCTTACGTATGTTTGTTTTGTATTTAAGTATTTAACTATGTATCATCAATTTTCGAATTCTTTCGTAATTATAATACAATCACGTGCTTTGATTTCTGCATTAATTAATATAAATATATATATAATCGAATTCTACATTAATTAATATAAATGTATAATAACAATAAATTTCGTATTTTATTTACTTTTATAATGATCGTAGTTGATCATCACTGTAAAAGTGATTTTCCTTATCTATGCTACTTTTATTAAAAATTGTATCACTATGCATATAAAAGTTTTAAAGTCTTATTTTGATGAACTCATGACATAACTTATGATGTACAAATTAAAGTGTATGTCACATATAAAACGCTATAAATCAACATTTTAGATCAACATCTTAATAAAGCATAAGGAATAAGAAAATAAGAAATATCATAATAAAAACACCATGTTATAATTAAACAGTACAATTAAGAAGATAACAAGCATAAAATAATCTGTCAAAATATAATTAAATATATACTTTAGGAGAAGGAATGAACACAGACCTTAAACTTGGGATAACATTTTCTTCTTTCTTTCCCTCTTTTGCTCTCCCTTCCTCACGGACGGTATCCCTATTTTCTCTGTTTATTTTCTTTCTTTGGTTCGTGGCTCATCTCCCAGTTCTTTTTCTCTAATCTTAATGGTGTATACTAAGTGGTAAGTATAATTTTATTTTCTTGCAGCTGAACTTTAATGAGTGAGCTAGTTGGCCAGGTGTAGTGTCTATTTATATTTGCATGTAATTTTTGTTTGCTTCTTCCATGAGCTTGCTGCGTGTCTTATGAAGACTAGAAGTCTCTCTGCTCATTCATAAATTTTTGTTCCTATTATTACTACAGTATCAATTATTAATTGCTTAGTTTCAACACTTGACTCTTAATTAGCCATATGTCTAGGAAATTTCTGAATTGATTTTTTTCTTCTTTGTTTCATGTGCATGGCTCTTTGTCTATTATGCATGCTCAATGATACGTGTAGCCAAATGTCATGAAATTTCTTATGTGGTGGTTGAGTCTTGTTTGATATGCATGGTATGATGTATTAATATATATACTTCGTATATTTACTTTTGTCTTTGAAACATTTGTTTAATCTATTTCCACATGAATGTTATATGGCTATGTAAATTATCACATTTCATATCATTTTCTATCCGACCATACATAGTTTCTTTATCTAAAGATGACTTTAATTAGTTCGATTCAATTGTTCAATTTTTATTATTATTTAACAGTAGTTTATTTTAGTAGATCGAGTTTAAATAAATAGCTAAAATACCCATCATAAGTATAAACTTTTGTTGAATAATTTTAATTCTTCATATATAATTACTTTTATTTTCAGGTTTTTAAAATGTGTAAATTTTGAGGATGTTACATTTCTTCCCCTCTAAAAAGAAATTTCGTCCTCGAAATTTACATTATGAAAATATTTCTGAGATTCATTACTTAATTACATTTTTACCTTGATTAACCTTTCTAGTGGTGGTATTTTACAAAAAGTCTTTGACTAATTTGGTATTCTAATTTCTGGATTTTTGACTTCTTTTGCTAATATATTTTGACCGTCCTTAGGCCTTAGCTTATTTTATGCTAATAGTAAAGGACTATGAGTGTATATCACACTCAAGTAGACAAGTACACAACCCCTTTAGATGTGTCTTTCAATTCTTAAATCCAATTATATGTGACCATTGTTATACTCCGTATCACTTTGTATTACACTATTCTG